GGTCTAAAGTAGTAAAACTATTGGGCTATATCTAAGCTGACACATAAAACAGTTTTTATTTTGGCAAGAACAGTGTATAGATGGATGAAAGCCTGGGTTCTTCTCAGAAATGTAGCTTCTCAGCAGTACAAAGAACATTTACAAGAAAAATGAGTAGAAATGCAATTTTGTGTTGAGGTTTTCGCTTAGTTCACCTCTCGTCAGCTTCTGTTTCTTAAATTTGTAAATGACTGTTCATGCTTTTGTTTTGAGATTTAAGTATCATTATTGTTAAATGCCAGTCTGGGTATATAAATGCAGATTTATCTGTTAGGTATCAGCTTAAGTTATTAACTTTGGATTCACTGGAGGACAAAAATGTTCACTAGGGCACAAGAAATCCTCCTAAAACTGTGACTTTTATTAATAGTTTGAAAATAGTTTAAATGTTTCCCAAGAAAAAAAAAAGTGCCAAATTCATTTGACAATGCAACAACAGACATTAAAATGAACCTATGAATTTATATATCAAAGCAAACAACATTCTAAATTAACAATTTGGACAACAAATAGTGTCAAATTGGCTTTAAGAGTCCTCAACATCCTTGATAAATTTGAATGATTATATTTACTATGAGCAAATGTCATAGTGCACAACAATACTGTTTTCTCCAAGAAATGTAGTCCAATTCATTTATTATTCCATTATTGGCTGCAGTTATTACATTGTCAACTTTTCAAATACTAGGCCAGTAATGTAATAGCCAAATGCAAAATGTTATACCGGTTGCTATTAGCTCAAAAAAATCATTACATTATTGGCTAGTTATTAGATTATTGATTGGCTTTATTACATTTAAAATGGGCAAAATTATTACATTATGGGCTGTTAAACATTATTGGTTGCTGTAAGAAGATCTAAGTTAGACTCTCTTATTGTCATGAAAATATTACTAATGTCTGTAACCTGAGCTGTCAGAACACAAAATGAATTTGTCCTTAAACGTGAGTTCTTTGAGTCTCACGGAGCAGATTTACATCCTGATCTTGCACAGGAAGTTTGGGCGTTTTACCGTGTTTTATCATGGCTGTTTAAAATCACAGTCAGGACGAGGAGACGACATCCAGTGTGGGACAGTGTGAAGGTATTTCACGTTTACTCAAATTCAAACACATGTAGTTGTCATTTCAAATGTCCCTGTATCTTGTTTTTATATTCAGCAGAAGTTAAGAGGCAGTAATGTTTTTACCACTGTTTATTTGTCACCAAGCTAACTAATAAATCAGTGCACAAATTTTAACAAAACTCCCAGAAACTAACCTGGATGAACATCTACAACGGATTAACTTTTGAAGTCAACGCACTTCAAGACAGCTACCACAGCTAAGCAAGCTTAACCAACACAAAAATGGTTACAAACCAGCCAGTTTTACAACTCTTGAGCTAAAATTTGCAGTGTTAGTATGAGTCACTCAAAGTAGTCTTTAAGCCCTAACACAACTTGCAAGATACCACAACATCAAAAGATTGTGATGTCATCATTTATAAGGTTTGACCATAACAGCTGTCACTCCTTCACTTCTCAACATAAGAGCATTTTGGTTTAAATCTCTGGTATGGAAAGTGGTAAGTGATATAAAGAATGCCAGGTCTTCAGTTTTTCCATGTTTTACTCCAAATGTAAACATTTTAAATCACCTACTTTGAAGAATAATACATAGTATTAAAATCCCAGACGGCAGAACTTGTAAAACAGCATGTTTTCAGCGATCAGAAGCATTTATCTGCAGGCCGGTGCGATTTCTCCCCAACATGCAGAGAAACATCCTGCAGGTTCTGCTCATTCAGCCCTTACAAGCAGGCGAAGGAGCCGAGGAGACTCCTGTTGGCAGCTCGTGACGGCTCGACGACCCACCGACAGTAACTTTATATCGCCACATGAAACCTCTGATAAGGCACATTCTTGTTCTCAGAGCTTAAAGGAATGAGTTTGTGGTCATACGTTTATACAGCTGGATCTACTGGGCTGTTTGTTCAGATGTCTACACAACTCACTGAACTGCTCTAGGGAAATCTGAGCACATATTTCACTTATTTTTGTGGAGTTCTGGTCAGCTTCTTGTCAATTTCAATGTGTCCATCACACGATTAGAAGCACTAGGATGGTGGATGAGGACTGCTGTCTTTGTAGGTGGAAACAGAAATCATGCCGGGCTTCAAAGTATCAATGTGCAGAGGCTGACAGCACAGACAGTTCGTTCTGCTCAGTAGTCTGCTGGTGTGGCAGGGAACCTTCATAGTACAGCAACATAGGCTGTTAGAGGACAGTGAAAATATAGAGCTCAGTTTATAAAACACCACCAGAGAGAATAAGCTCGTTTTCACACTCAGTATAGGCCTATGTAAAACTCTGGTCATATGGTAATTTTTACTGCAAGGTTATATTTTTATATGAACGTGCAAGAAAACATTAAATGGTGGATAAAATATTTGATTTTTCATTTCAAACTGAAGAAGAAAAACGAATAATTTGACTGCAACCAACAATTTAAAGGAGGCATATTTCTCCTGACAAACTACTGCCATCTTGTGGAGAACAACAGCACTGCACGAGGACAGCATTTAATGCTTACATGGTGTTATAAAACAACTCACAAACCTGCTTTCAATATGTGTTCTAGTTGCTGGTGGTGTTTCTTATTTAACCAAACATTATTACATTTTTTAAGGTGTGCTGTAATTATTTTGAATGAATTGAAAAATGCTTTTTCTACTAGGATTAATGAGTAGAAAATGTTAAACAAGGTATCTGCAGTTTTCAGCAGGTCTAACTTAAAGCGTTTTAAGACCGTGTTAACGCCACCTTGAACGAAATTTACAACAGAAAAAACTATAAATACTGTATAGCTGATGGTTGGATCGTGCAGTATTACAACCAAGCATCATGTGTGTCACTCGATGAGACACAATCTAGTTTGGGTTCTGTCTGTTTACTGAGAATAAAGTGATATTTAGTACTCTAGTTTGATATTTGTATGTACAAGTACAGTTATTTGGTTGGAAACATCCAACAAAAACAAAAATAGACATCTACTGAATGCATTCATGGCACGAGGCTCAATTGTATCTTGATCTCCGTGTACGAAGACGTCGTCCAGCCAACTGCCAATAAATTTACACCAACATATGATTTAGTTGCAGAACAGCTAGCTAGCAAGTGTATATATCAGCCGCTATAAAAAGTGCCTCAATCGCCTTGAATCACAGTTGGGTTGGACCATAGACTGTACAAGTCTGTAGAAAATCTAAATCTATGTAGAAGTCTGAGTGCAACTCAGTGTAAAACTTCTGCTGACAGAAAGTCCTGCAAGAACAAAAATAAGAGATTAACATTTTCTACACAGAGGTTATACCTTTAGTCATCCTCTTTAATACCCAAGAGGTAAGAGTTATAACCTCTAAGGTTTTCTTAAAGGCTATATACCTTGATAGGTGTAGAAAAGAGGGTGAAAGAAAGCACTGGCACAATTTCATGCTACAATACTGTGAACCAGACAGTAGCACAACATATGTTTTTACCTTTTAAGGATGCACAAACACCATGGTATAGGCATTTTATGTTATTAGAATAAAAAGGAAAAAAATAGTTATTTCTGAAGCTCTTCAATGTTCAGTGGAGTTCAGTGGTGCCAAAAAGTGAAATAAAAGTGAACAGATAAACTAATAATCCTTCTGACAATGGAGTTTTGGACTGACTGGAGATACTACTATTTAGCATCTGTGCAACTCAACAACAATTTTATGATAATTAGCTAAAATTTTAAAGTAATACTGTTTGGAGCATTTTACAAACTTGTTTTTGTAGAAAACGTAACCAACCCAAAGTTTCAGTGATCTGAAAGACTTGCATCAAGATGTACTCCAAGATGAAAGTGCTTGCACATATTTTCAGAAGTGCATTGGTTTTTCTTATGCTTTTATTAATCACAGATTTAACTGCGAACAAGCAGAGGGCCGTTACATCTCAAATCCAGAAAACATTTTTTTTTTTAGTTTTGGCACCGCTTCTAGATGAACTGTTCAAGACATAATTTATTTAAGAGAGCTTGTTATTATTTAGGCATAACTATCCAGATGTACATTTAAAAAACAAACCTGTAAAACTTTCATTTATAACCAACCACCATCATCCAATAAATAATTACAATTTTAGCAGCAAGAAAATAAAACGAGTAAAATAAATCTCTCAACTTAGTTCATGATTAGTATTTTATTTTGTACAATCCTCAGTCGTTAGAAAACCAGAAGCATCAATTAATGAATCAACATTCATTACAAGTGCAGTAATCTATAAATAAGAAGTGAAAGTGTAAAAAATGTTCATAGATGTGCAACACAAAAAGCATTATTTTTATTTGGCTTTATAAACTCCAAGCTTCAAAAAAACACCCGAAGCACCAAAAACAGAGAGAGGTCCAGTGTTGGAAGGTTTTCATTGCAAATTCATTAAAACCACTCAAAATATATGTATTTAATAAAAGCATCATTATGAAACAAAATCAGCTATTTTTTTTCCTAATTTTGATAGTTAATATGTCTTTGAATGAACAAAACATGTAAGCAAAATGTCTGATGCCAACTACCACGTGTGTTTGTTTACCTACAAAAAAAGCTGAAGTGACTAAAAACAAGTCGATGATGGTGATGTCAATGGAAAAGCTGTTCAGGCCGGAGAAGTCCAACAATTCTGATGTAATAATACTATTTACGCTCGGATTTGTTGAGTAAAGTATGAAGAATAAAAATAGGCTGAAAGGTGAAACTTAATGGTTTAGAAGCAGCTTTACGAAAGAAGCTGCTTAAATGCTGAGCTTTGAACACTTACATGGAATGCAGACTCAAAAAGTAAGAATTGTACAATAAGTCTGGAAAAGAATATGAACGTTAAATTACAGCAGCTGCTTCAGTTGTCATCTTACACTGAACCTAAAGGTTCAAGAGTGAACTTCCTTACGAAGCTCTACGACAGGAGACCTCTAGGTTTGAAGTCCTCTTCTGAGAAGGGAAGACGCTCTAAAAGGCTGTTTTCCAGTCTCTCTATATACTCACACCGGAGCACATTAGAGCTGCTGTATGGAGAGCAGGAGGTGCTGTCAGAACTGTTCTGATCACACTCACTGTGCTCACTCACAGCATCATCCTGATCCATCATCTGGCTGTTCTCAACCTCTCCAGCCTCTTTGTGCTGATCGATTATTTTGGCGTTCAAATTATTTTGTGTGGCACAGACCGGCTTTGAGCCAGTCTTGGTGTGTGTTAGAATCTCCACTCGTTGAAGGCTGCGTCGTGTGAGTTGACTGAGCGGCACCGACTCTGCCCTTACGAATTCTTGAGGGACGGTCTGAACAGTGTTGAGGCTCCACTCGTCTCCAGCCCCTCTGCTTTTGTTAGGGGTGAGTTTCACGCTCGGGTCTACGAGGATACAGTCAGAGTCCCTTTCACTGCGTTCCGTCTCTTCCTCAGATCCATCCTGCTCCACACTGTCTGCCTCCCAGTCACATGGCGTCACAGATCCTTTCACAGGAGAGCAAAACAACACTCCTTTAGGAGCAAGTGGTCTTAAGAGTCTGCGACAGAAACCGGAGTATGCTGATGAGCCGAGCTGCCTTTCGGTCTGTCTCAACATGTAGTGTCGGACAGACTCAGGAACTAGAATTTCACGGCGTTTTTTATGCGGCAGCAAGGCAGACAGACTTCCAGGCAGAAAGCTTCCAACAATGGGCACAACAGAGGAAGGCTTCAAGGCCGAGACAAAATCTTCCAGCTCTTGATAAGAGGAGTGGTCTGAATAGGGCACTACGTGTATGTTGGTGTGGAAGGAGATGAGAGGCCTACTGGTGGGCAAGATGGCCAAAGTGGGACGCTCTTCGTTCCACTGCTGCAACGCAGCAAAGCTAATCTGTGACTGCTCCACGGCTCGGATCCGACCCGCTCCCGGCTCGGTGATGAAGACATCGGGAAGCCCCAGAGCCTTGAGCGTCTCCATTCTCTCAAAACTCACCTCGACCCAGGTTTTAAACTCCAACGCCAGCTCGAGTATGAGATTCTCTTTACCCAGAGCGTAAACACCTGCAAAGGAGAGTGTGGTGAGAACAAAGCAGGACACAGTTTCAGAAACAGGGACATGGATAAAATCAGAGTCAACAACAAGCAGATCAGGATTTGATGCGTTTTGTGTAAAACAACCTTAAAAGTGTTAACATTTGAACAGCTGTTGCAGGCAGATAGGTTAAACAACTGATAGCGGAAAACAATCTCGAGCTAGATGAACACTCTTATTTCCTAAATTAAAATTATGAATATTAATAAATAATTAAGTTTATGGGGGGTTTACAGTCTATCAAGCTTGAACACTGGACCCATATAAACTCACCTATAACAATATCGTGGTTGGGGTGGCTGCGAATGATCTCTTTGATTTGTTGAGTGGCTTGTTGTCTGGATGGTAGGGTGCGGTTGGGGTCACAGTTGGTGTTGTCCAAGTACAGAACATCTATAGTGGTGTTGGTCCTAAAACACGGCTCACGCAGCATTGAAGGAGAATATCTAAAGTCACCTGAAATTAAAAACATTAGTGCTTAATATTAATCTTTAGAATAAAGTACCTAACAAAATCCTGTCTGTCGAGGAGAAACTGACCAGTGTACAAGATTGAGCCAAAGTAGCCCTCGAAGAGAAACATGACAGCCCCTGGACAGTGGTTGGCATCTATTAGTGTAACCGTGAGCTTCTCTTTGCCGATGTCGTCCAGAGAGAGCAAATATGGCTCTCCAAGCTCCAGTGGATGGATCCACTGGTCTTTCACCTGAGCAGAAACAAAACAACCACAGAATTAAAATGTTGTCACAAAAAAGTAGTCATTAAAAAAAGCAATAAACTAAATAAAGACATTCATCCATTATGTTCTGTTTGTTAAGAAGTCGGGCAGCGGGGGCAGCAGCTTGTGCAGGGAGGTCCAGACATCTCCACAGCCACCTCTTCCAGCTCTTCTGGAAGGACCCCAAGGTGTTCCCTGGTCAACCGAGTCTCTCCATCATGTCCTGGGTCTTCCCAGGGGTCTCCTCCACAAAGCACCTCCATAGGGAGGTGCCCAGGGTGCCCGAACCACCTTAACTGGCTCCTCTCGACGTGGAGGAGCAGCGGTTCTACTCTTAAGACTCTCCCAGATAATTGAACTTCTCACCCTGTCTCTAAAGGAGAGTCCAGCTACCCTGCAGAGGAAACTAAGTAATTTCAACTGCCTGTCTCGTTCCTTCGGTCACTACCCAGAGTTCGTGATCATAGGTGAGGGTTGGAACATAGACCGACCGGTAAACGGAGAGCTTAGCCTTACAGCTCAGCTCTGTCTTCACCACAACAGACCGACACAGGATCTGCAATACTGCTGACGCTGCACCAATCTGTCAATCTCACGCTCCATTCTTCCCTCACTTGTGACCAAAACCCTGAAGGCTCACACAGACTCGGGCAGACCTCAGTCCGTGGAGGTCCGCGCGTACCGGATTAAAGTTGAAGCCGACGCCCACAGGGCATGTCCGTGCAAAGCTCAATTTTTACGACCGCTTACGCGTACTCTGTAAATAAACTGCCCGGTGACGAACTGTTTTGTATGTGACACCAATGTATTAAATTCCCCTTCTTCATCCCTGATCTGGCCTTTTGTTTTGTTTTTTCCTAAAAGGCAAGCGATCTCTTCCTCCTCGTTCGTTGATGCCATGACTGAAATTGAGAGAAATGAAGGAATTTGTCACGAGCGAATGAAAATCAGGTCCAGCGTGGCTGCGGGAGGGTCTGGAGATTTCCTGGTGGGCTGGTCTGATGTGTGGGCTGCAGGACCAGCGCTCCCTGTTTTTATTTATTATTTAGAACTTTTTATTAACAAACAACATATAAACAGAACCCTGACGCGGCTGGGGCTGCCAGCTCTCGTTTTTTTCTTTCTTTTCCTTTCTCCAACCTGTCAATCAATCCAGTAGGCGTGTCAGAAAATGACCGATCAGCAACCTCAATTTGTCCCGAAGGTAAACGCCCCTTGCCTGCAGAGCTGCTCTGCAGCCGATGAGGGTGTACGCTGGAGTATGAAGTCTCAACCCTCTGCGGACAGTGCACGTTAAGTCTGCATGGAAAAAGGTCCACGCGAGTATACTGGAGCCTTTAGGTACTCCTCTTGAGTCCCACCAGCCAAAAAGGCTTAATAAAGACAAAAAAATTAAAAATAGACAAGCAAATTCAAAAATGGTGATATAAAATAAATACTGCACATGTAGAATTTAGAATGTTGTGTTTACATAACTCTTACTTTCATGTCATTGCACATATTTACTTTATCAGTGAGTAAAAACTTTACAGAACTTGCCTAATAAACTTTACATAAAATACTTTAATTACTTGGACTGACAAACCAGAAATTAGTCACAGCCATGGTAAATTAATTTCCATGTCAGTGTTGAGTTTTATTCAATGCCAATGTCTATCAATAACACAATTGAAATGATATCACTGTGCATCTCTAGAAGATCTATTACATGTTTATTAGTTAGCAATCATTTCATTCAGTGTGCAATGATAACATGTATAAACCCTAAAAAACACTGAAGCTATTCTGCACCCCCCCAAAAAAGGAGCAATCCAAATTTTTAGATCAGAGCTAATCAACATAACTGCTCAGGGCAGGGGGCCACAGTTACTGAAAGCCAGCAGCTCGGGGGCCGGACATCCAGCAAATAAAGTCATTATGTAAATAAACCAAGTATTACAATGATCTGTTAACTTTAAATTAGTTTATTTTGTTGCATTCAATCATAAATGCAACAAACTGAGCCCAAACCAAACCCAAAACCCAAACCCAGAAACCCCACCCCCCCACAAAAGAAAAAAAAAAAAAGTATGAACTCATTGGTGGGCCAAACTGAAGTGGCCTGCGGGCCGCCAGTTGATACTGACATGTTAAATAAAGATGTGATCTAAAATAATTGCCAAATGAACTTGAATAGAAATCTTTATATTAAAATCTACTAGAATCAATCAATAATGAATATGAATTTTTATCAAACGAGATGTAATTGTATTTTTGGGGAGATAAATTAAACTACTAACAAAACTAGTGTAATTTTTTGATTCAACAGACTTTTTCCACAGATAAATTTGAATTGCATTACTGGTAACACATTTGTGTTCTGTTCAGATATTCCAGTAAACCTTTTAAGTACAAGAGATTGTATGACTTTTGATTAACTCAGCTTTATGGAAGTCAGCTAGCTATTATCAACCCTATTATATTTTGATGCAGATTCTCAGTCATGCAAGTGTTACTAATGTTTCTTCAGAAATTAGAAAACTTACAGGAAAAAATAGATATATTTAATAAGAAACAATTAAAAAGCCCATTTTCCTTTCATTCAGGCACCAAAACACCTTTATTATTAATGCAAACATGCTTTATCTGAACTGTCTATATCCTAAAATAAAAAGGTTGTAGGTGAAAATGACAGCCATTCATCTTTGAAAAGTAGTAATTTCCTAATGAGATTCTTTCAACACTACTTGCATTCAAGAAGTTGTCCACCTTGATTTCTGTAAGGGGTTTCAAACATTTGATAATGTCAATAGAAAAATCAAAGCAAATATGTTCTTGTTTTTAGTATTTCACCCTGTTTTACGGCACCCGGATTTATTGTTTTGTACACTGCTCTTATTTTTACAGCATTTGTACTGTAGTTTATTGTTGTCATTGTTTACTGTTATTGTTGTCTGTACTTTATATGTTCTGTCTGGAACAGGTCCCTCCTGTAAATAAGCCCCCATGGCTCAATGAGGCTAGCCTGTATGAATAAATAAAGTTTGAATGAATGAAAAAAAGAAATAGTCAGACTGACATATACTGTGGTAGATATTTAAAGTTTTGATTGACCAGAAAATAAACTTTTGGTATGTGTCATAGCAGGTCAAATAGTAATTTAAAACACATTCCTGCTTAGGGATGGGCTGCTTTATTCTGGCTCAGTTATGGCACCTAATGATAAAATATAATTATGATTGATTGATGACTATGATGTGGTGTGATCCCTGTCTGGTCTCTCAGTGTGGTACAAGTTATCTGATGAGCTGACAGGTGAGACAAATACTCAGAATAAAACTTGATATTTTAGGTCCAGGGTGAATCCTCTCCCGAAACGCACCTGCAGTTTGAGTTTGAGCAGCGTGGCCGTGGTCGGGGAGCAGTAGATGGGCCGGTTGCTCCATGTGGAGGTCAGACCCACGGTGTGATCGCTGTGCATGTGGGTCAGAAAGAACAGCCGAGTGCCTGGACACTTCCGAACCTGCCAGAAGTCTACAGCCAGCGGAGTGTGCGGGATAACTTTTCCATTGGCGGGCATTGTGATAGTTCACCCCCCTCCTGGAGATCTCCTGGATGTAGCCAAGAAAATATCAAATGGTTGTTGACCAAAAACAGCCCGCTTATTAGAACAAAAAATACATGCTACATCAAACGCTAATTTGATTCGAGCCAGCGTTGAACAGCTGTACACGCATCGAAAATTGTCATATCTACGTTGGAAATGATAAAGACTTGATTTACAGTAACGGTGTTTTGGTAATCCGCCATCTTTTTTTAAATTTGTCGTTCACGCCTCTTCCGGCTTTTCTTCATTCATTCTAGCTGTAATGCTGAGGTGTGACCTACAGCGCCCTCTACAGGTTGGAACTAGTAGCTCCACCCCGCAAAATTAGACCTATAGGTCATACAATTAGAATATCATGAAAAAGTTGATTTATTTCAGTAATTCCATTCAGAAGGTGAAACTTGCATATTATACTCATTCATTACACACAGACTGATATATTTCAAATGTTGATTTATTTTAATGTTGGTGATTATAACTGGCAACTAATGAAAACCCCAAATTCAGTATCTCAGAAAATTAGAATATTGTGAAAAGGTTCAATATTGAAGAGTGTCATTCTCTAATCAGCTAATTAACTCAAAACACTTGCAAAGGCATTTAAATGGTCTCTCAGTCTAGTTCTGCTACACAATCGTGAGGAAGACTGCTGACTTGACAGTTGTCCAAAAGATGAACACTGACACCTTGCACAAGAAGGGCAAGACGCAAAAGGTCATTGCTAAAGAGGCTGGCTGTTCACAGAGCTCTGTGTCCAAGCACATTAATAGAGAGACAAAGGAAAGGAAACGGTGTGGTAGAAAAAGTGTACAAGCAATAGGGATAACCGCACCCTGGAGAGGATGGTGAAACAAAACACATTCCAAAATGTGGGGGAGATTCACAAAGAGTGGACTGCAGCTGGAATCAGCGCTTCAAGAACCACCACGCACAGACGTTTGCAAGACATGGGTTTCAGCTGTTGCATTTCTTGTGTCAAGCCACTCTTGAACAAGAGACAGCGTCGGAGGCATCTCGCCTGGGACTGCTGCTGAGTGGTCCAAAGTTATGTTCTCTGATTACAGTAAGAAAGACCTGTTCTTAATTGGCCAGCAAACTCGCCTGACCTTAACCCCATAGAAAATCTATGGGGCATTGTGAAGAGGAAGATGCGATACATCAGACCCAACAATTCAGAAGAGCTGAAGGCCACTATCAGAGCAACCTGGGCTCGCATGACACCTGAGCAGTGCCACAAACTGATCGACTCCATGCCACGCCGCATTGCTGCAGTAATCCAGGCAAAAGGAGCCCCAACTAAGTATTGGTGCTGTACATGCTCATACTTTTCATGTTCATACTTTTCAGTTGGCCAACATTTCTAAAAAATTTTTTTTTTTTTAATTGGTCTTGAATAATATTCTAATTTTCTGAGATACTGAATTTGGGGTTTTCATTAGTTGTCAGCTGTAATCATCAACATTAAAATAAATAAACATTTGAAATATATCAGTCTGAACTAAATCAACTGTCAGGGTTTTACCTGTACCTTAAATAAAACACAGGGAGACAAGAATGAGATTTCTAGAACGCATCTTTGCAAAGAGGGACAGCGTTCGACCGAAGTCAGAACAAAGTCCAACTTGTTTCAGCGTGCGTTCCTTTTTTATTCAGGCAAGTAGGAATGGCAAACAGGAAACACAAGATCTGGTGGTTTTCAGGTAACAAAGACGTGGCCGTTTCTATCAAAACAGGAACTGTGAGTTTCCAACAAGTCAGTAGAGAAAGGTTTCTGTCACGAATCACGTCTGTCAGTTAGGTTTTTGTGTCACTCTGTTCACTTGTTTTTGTTCTGGGGATCTATTCTTTTGTTTTTCTCTTTCTCTGCATGTGGGTTGAGGTTTGTCTTCACTCCTAGTTTAACGTTGTCTTCACTGCAGCCAGCAGCGCTGATTGCGCTCAACTGGCTGCACCTGTCCTCCTCTCCCTTTATAAGCTCACGGCTGACTCTTTTTCGGTGCCCGGTAGTTGAACACTTTTTGTTAGTAAATACCTCGCGCTCATGACCTCGCTCTGTCCCTGTCCTGTCCTCTCAAGTCCTTGTATTCCTGTTTTACTCGTTTCTGTCCTCCCATCGTTTCCTGTTCCCTTCCTCTCGGCTCGACCTCCCGGCTTCTGGACCCACGGACCTCCTGACTCGTCTCCCGTCTGCTCCTTTGGATTGTCTCGGCATCTGATCATCGGTTCTGACCCACGCCTGCTCGACCA